CCTAATGGAGCAAGTATCCTATCTCTTTGGTGAGGTGTACAGGAGAATTCCAGTCACAACTCTTTCGTTACCAGTGGTAGAAGATTTTGTTGAGATATCCCCAGTGGAGTTCCTATCCCGGGATGTTTGTTTCTTTCCCAAGTGAGGATCTTTTACCTCCCAACAATGTTACCCCCAGTGTGGTCTGAGTAGAATTCTTTTTATTTAAGAATTTCTATACTCCCCAACAGAAGTTATCTTTGTCAAAGAATTTTTATGCCAGAAGTTTCCATTCCCAACAAAGCTTTCCTCTTTCCAATAGAGGATAAAGAATTTTTTCCCCGTGAAGTGGGGAGTTTGATTAGAATTCAAGATTTTATCTGAACTACAATTTATGTTTGCAGTATTCTTCCCAGGAAGTTACTTCCCCAGTGATATCGATCTTTAGAGGCTAGTGGTTCCAAACTTTGGTTCCCCATTGAAGTACAAATTTCCTTTTCTCTACAGAAGCCAGATGTGCCAGAATAATCGTTCGAAAGTTCTTCGTCTTCTCGGCAGCCGATTATTGATGTGTTTTCCTAATGCATTGCTAAACATGCATCATTACATTGCATCTACCAAAACACGTAGCATTCCCATTGTATGGAGCATTACGCTATGAAATTTTTTTTCAAACATGCATGAGTATAAGCCAATTGTATTTACTTGCTGTAACCAGACTGTTATGCATTCAGATTTGAGTTATCTCCACAAGAAGCCTAGGGTGATTCTATTTTGTTTCCCCAGCTAAGGCTGTTTGAACTACCACTAGTCGAGTCTTCGGTGTTTCCCATTGTCTTAGTAAGTCGTGATTCTCTTTTACCCTTGCAAGCCTTTGGTTATATATGTCCTTTCCTCCGGACATATTTTCCTAATATTTTTGGTTATATATCCTTTCCTCCGAACATATGTTTCATGATATCCTTGGTTATACGCCCTTTCCTCTAGACGTATATTCCTGATATCCTTGGTTAGGGTCCTTTTCTCCGGTCTCTTTCTTACGTATTCGATACCGACCACGGATATGTATTTTTGATACCTGTTTCATATGTCTGCTACCAATCCCAGACATGTGTTCTTGATATCTTTGTAAGAGCTTTCTTCGGTCTGTCTCTTTCTTACGTATCCGATATCGACCACGGATATTTATTTTTGATACTTGTTTCATATGTATGCTACCAATCCCAGACATGTATCTTTGTAAGAGCTTTCTTCAGTCTGTCTCTTTCTTATGTATCCGATACCGACCACGGATATGTATTTTTGATACTTGTTTCATATGTCTGCTACCAATCCCAGACATGTATCTTTGTAAGAGCTTTCTTTGGTCTGTCTCTTTCTTACGTATCCGATACCGACCACAAATATGTATTTTTGATACCTGTTTCATATGTCTGCTACCAATCCCAGGCATGTGTTCTTGATATCTTTGTGAGAGCTTTCTTCGGTCTGTCTCTTTTGTACGTATCCGATACCGACCACGGATATGTATTTTTGATACTTGTTTCATATGTATGCTACCAATCCCAGACATGTCTTCTTGATATCTTTGTAAAAGCTTTCTTCGGTCTGTCTCTCTCGTACGTATCTGATACCGACCACGGATATGTATTTTTGATACTTGTTTCATATGTCTGCTACCAATCCCAGACATGTGTTCTTGATATCTTTGTAAGAGCTTTCTTCGGTCTGTCTCTTTCTTGCGTATCTGATACCAACCGCGGATATGTATTTTTGATACTTGTTTCATATGTCTGCTACCAATCCCAGACATATGTTCGTGATATCTTTGTAAGAGCTTTCTTCACTCTATCTCTTTCGTACGTATCCGATACCGACCACGGATATGTATTTTTTATACTTGTTTCATATGTCTACTACCAATCCCAGACATGTGTTCTTGATATCTTTGTAAGAGCTTTCTTCGGTCTGTCTCTTTTTTGCGTATCCGATACCAACCGCGGATATGTATTTTTGATACTTGTTTCATATGTCTGCTACAAATCCTAGACATATGTTCTTGATATCTTTTTAAGAGCTTTCTTCAGTCTGTCTCTTTCTTACGTATCCGATACCGACCACAAATATGTATTTTTGATACTTGTTTCATACGTCTGCTACCAATACCAGACATATGTTCTTGATATCTTTGTAAGAGCTTTCTTCAGTCTGTCTCTTTCTTGCGTATCCGATACCAACCACGGATATGTATTTTTGATACTTGTTTCATATGTCTGCTACCAATCCCAGACATGTGTTCTTGATATCTTTATAAGAGCTTTCTTCGGTCCGTCTCTTTCTTACGTATTCGATACTGACCACGAATATGTATTTTTGATACTTGTTTCATATATCTGCTACCAATCCCAGACATGTGTTCTTGATATCTTTGTAAGAGATTTCTTCGGTCTGTCTCTTTCTTACGTATCCGATACCGACCACAGATATGTATCCTTTCTGTCTCTTTCTTACGTATTTGATACCGACCACAAATATGTATCTTTGATGCCTTTTCCATATGTCTGCTACCAACCCCATACATGTGTTCTTGATAACTCTAATGTATCTTTTGTGTGTATCCGCTAACAACCCCAGATATGTATCTTTTCTGTCTCTTTCGTGCATATCCGATACCAACCGCAGATATGTATTTTTGATACCGTCTTTGTATGTCTGCTACCAACCCCAGACACGTATCTGTGACATCCTTGTAAGAATCTTTCTTCAGTTTGTCTCTTTCGTGTCTGATACCGACCCCAGATATGTATCTCTGATATCTTTTTTTCGTATGCCTGCTACAGACTTCAGGCATATACCTTTTGATATCTTTCTTACAGGTGTTTGTTACTAAATCCCAACAAGTGTTCCTCGATAACCGAGTTATTCTTCTGTGTGTCAAAAATCTGGTTAAAACATACATCTAACCCTAATAACCTCTTTTACCTAAAAAAATAGAAAATACAGAAAAACCAAAAATATAATGTATTCCTGACTGGCTTCGGAGTGCAAATTTTCGGGTTCTTTAAGTATTTAATCTTCTTCCACCCTGAAATTTCGAAAGGCTAACGCCAATCTCACCTTCAGGTTGAAGGCGATTAAATAGGGGCGGCTGTTGCACCCCAAAATTTGCCCTCCTAATTTCTTCTATCTAGCTTAGACTCTTGCACTCATATATTCCATTAGGTCATTAACATACATTTGCATTCAATAAAGCGCTTAAGGTTCAAAGTTCAGTGGCTGTGCGATGTTAGGGTTTCGCAACGGTTAAGGTGTTCATATCCAATAAAGCATGATTCTTCTGATTATCCTTCAAGCAGTGAACTGTGGAATTAGGGTTGCAACTATGCTTATTGAGGGTTCTGTCCTCTTCAAGTTAAGGGGGTTATTACTCATTCAGATACATTCAAGACAAGAGTCAGAGTGTTTCTCTACCAAGTTTGTGCTTGTCAGCATTTCATCAACCGAGGTTCATTAGGTTTTCTAAGTCATGGCCAGCTTGGTCATATTTCTTTCTGTATCCCCCTGTTCAATTCCAAGTTGTTCTACGAGGTCATCTAAAGGGCTACTAAATCAGGCATTCATTATCTCCTTGTGCTCAACATCATCCTTTGATTAGGGTTCATTTCTATAAATCATGTACCATTCAAGAGAGGTTTCTCTGGGAAGTTGTGATTATCAGGAAAGGCTATAATCAAGGGATATCTTCCATGAACAATCATGGTTTCAATTGATATATCTTTGGCAAATAAGAAGGAAAGCGTTGCTTGAATCTCTAGTTATGTGGGAAACAGTTCTATTCTAGATAAGAAGATTTAGTTGGACCTTCTTCACAAATTAGGGTTTGTATGCCTTATAATGCAAAGCTCTTCATCTGGTCGATTGTCTTACTTGCGATATAATCTATTTTCTTCTGATTTCATTTCAATGCTTTGAGAATCAAAATCTAACAGATTTGTATGGAAGATTAGGATTTATATCCTATCGTACTTGGATTTATCAACATCTTCAATGGAGGTTCATGGGATGATAAGGCGTGATATAAGGATGGCAATGTAAATTCATTAAGATCAAGGCAGTTTAGTTCTCTTATTGTTTGTTATACAAGATTGACGGGGATCAACATGTTGGATCCATTCTCTCACGAAGGACAGAGGGTGATGTTACAGACCATTTGGTTCATAGTCGTCAATTGAAGATTGGGCTCACTTCATGGCTCATGATATAAGTCATTTGTTTTATGGTTCATTCAAGAAGGTGGGATTCTGATCACGAAGTTTGCTTTAGATTATTTCAAGAGAAATATCATGTGAATTCAAGTTTTGTTCAAGAATTAGATTAAAGTTCATTTACCAAGCATGCAAGGATAGAAAAAGATTCATGTGGATTTCTTGAGAAACAAGTTATTTGAAATTTAGAGCAAATATCAAGTTCATGCATGTACAAGGGCCTTCAAGAATTATTCAAAGCTATTTCAAGTTCAAGATACATAGATAAGATATGTTGACTTCGGTTAAAGTAAGCTTTGAAAAATTAACTTTTGGAACAAGGTCTCCCTTGAAATTTCATCTAATATGTGTTAGGCATTCAAGTTGCATTTGAAGAATGGTATGAAAAAAGGAAAAGAAATATTGGTTCAGAAGAGGAAAATTTTATTAAAAATCAGGGTTTCTATTCGTTGATAAATGTTCAGTAATTAAAGATCAGGGGAAATAAAGTTTCATGTTAATCTTGATCATATTCTTTCATTATCATTTATGTCCATCTTTGATGATTTAAGGTCGTCAATTAGGGAAGGACTTTGTCAAGATAAGAGACTTGTGGATTGAATCGTGGAATATGAGGCATGATATAAAAGGAGAGGTCATGAATTCTTTAGGATCGAGATCTTATTGACTATTCAAATTACTTATCATACAAGTTTGTTTCTCTCACTAAAGAAAATGCATAATCACCTTGAACGAATAAACAACTCTCTACAAGCAATGGATATTGAAGAAGCAGATAATACAGTTTTATCTTCTCCTGTCTCTTTCAATCCCATGGTTTGTCAGCAGAATGGAGTTTTTTCTCTTGAAGATCTTGCTTGGGTTGATTCCTGCCTAAATAAGGATTCCGGTATTTCAGAAAGTGATTGGACCCCTCTCAAGGATGCTTTTTCCGATATTATCAGTTCCCAATCTCAATCATTCAGGGTTGATGCTAGAAAAAACAATCAAACTCACCACTACAAGAAGGGGAAAAACATTACTTCACCACATATTCAAGAATCTTCGACTTCTAATGCAAATTGCTTACAAAATGTTGAGCTAATAAGAATGGCTAATCAAACAAGCACTGATTAAATTCTAGAGGATGAATTGGCTGGGACGACTTTCCAAGGAGATCCTTTTCTGCCAACTTATAATGAAGACCTAAAGCCAACTTATGAGAGGGAACATGCATCTGAGAATATCTTCAAGGCCTGGAATTTGAATTGTGCAAATGAAGAGATGGAGGAGGCATATGAGAATATCTTCAAAGTATGGGATTTGGACATTCCAGTTGAGGAAGGTGAACTCGTTAAACAGTTGAAGAAAGCCCTATCCGTTTTGGATGATTCATAAAAAGGGAAGGACTTGAAGGAAGGGTCTCTTGACAATCTTATTGCTGGCAAGGACTTGAATGAAGTGCCAACTCATAATAAACATATGTTCAATCAAACTCAGTCGGCTCTACATACGATTGCTGAAGTCGTGTCAAAAAGATTCCAGGTCTGCACCGAATCTGAACCCAAATACGACAGCCATGCTATGTTCATAAACATAGTTCAATAGTCCTCAATTTTTGAAAACTCAACTGCAAATCATCCCTGCATTTAGTTCATACCAGAAATCAGAAAAACAACGAAAAAAGAGAAGAAGGTCAATGACTAAGCTGCATTCACTAACAGAAAGATCGGAAAAAACAATGGAAAACAGAATCAAGAGTTAGAAACTAACCGCTCTGATAGAATTAAAAGCTAACAGCTAACTAACAGCTCATATCCTAACAAAATTCTATAACTAACAGATTCCTAACATCCTTACAACAGAACCAACTAACTTCTGAACTCTATATATAACTAACTCCAAACCAAGCCATAACTAACTATAAAAAAAACTACTAACAGAAACTAACCAGCTTAACCATAATCTACAACAACCCTCTAAATGTCAAAAACAAAATTGTTACAGAAATTTCCAACTAACTTCCAAAACAACCAACCTTCAACCAAACTCCTAACCAATTCCTAACTACCCAACCATCTATAACAACCTCCTAACCAACTAACAGCCAACAGGAGATAACAGAAGAACATAATAGAATTTCAAACAAAAAATTCAACTTCCAAAAAAAAAACCAATTCCTAACAGTCTAACAAACTCCCTCAATCCAATGAAAAAGCTCTCAAGCTGTGACCAACTTCATAAACATTTTCTTTCACAACTTCCTCTATATAATAGAAATTCAGAGATTGCAGAGGGGGGGATTTCATTAACAGAATTAAACCAAAAAAAACTAAAGAGAAAAATCAGAAAGCTCACCTTCTGGTTCTCTCTGAAACTAGATAATTATCAGCTTCAACCTTCTTTCAACCTCCACTCACTCTCCCTTCCTATTCCTTCAACCATCATTCTCTTGAGAATCTCCCTTGAATCTTGACTTCATTCTTCAGTGTCCATAACCGCTCTTCAATGTTCACCCTCGTTCAATCATCTTCAACTGCATACCTATGGTTCACATCATCACCAACGTATTTCCAATCTTCATCAAGCACATCACTACTTCGACGTTCTTTGATCTGCTTCATCAACATTCCAATCAGTCTCTCACTCTGCATCAACATAGCAACATCTCAGGCATCACAACTAGAACAAACAACAACATCGTAGAAATTCATGCAGGAAGATGAGTTCAGCAACAAAAACACAGTCATTACAACTCTGAAGAAAACCCGCGAGAACGACGAACACAAGAAGAAGTAAAGAGGAGAAGCAATACCATGACTCATCGCTGAAGCTGAACTTTATTCTCAAGTTTACTTTTAAAGCGCACTCCAATTCCATGTTAGATCAACATATCTTGCATTGAACCTCACCAATTTGCTTGAATCCCCAACATTAGTAGACTTAGGGTTTGTGATTTCTGGAGCTTCGATCTCGTCAACTGAGGAGAGGCCAACAAAATCTGAGGCCAGGTTCGTCTTCAGAGGCTAAAATGAAGCTAGGTTATTATCAAGATGTTATTTATTTGCGGAGGTCGCCTTTGTCGGAGTGAGTTCCCGCACGGTGGTATTTTGAGAGAATGGATGAGCAAATAGAAACAGGGTGAGAAGAAAGGAAAAGGAGGCGAAGCAGAGGAAGCGGAATTTGAAGAAAGTGGAGTCGACGGAGGCTGATGTATGAACGGAGGAGATAATAGAAGAATCGTGACACCGCCGCCGTGGTTGAGAGAGAAGAGAAGGAGCATAATTATTTTTTTGTTTTCACGCTGATTCCTCTTTCATTTTTTTTAATTAATTTATTTATTATTTTAATTTTTGAATTTCGTAAAAAGAAAATAATAATGCTGAAGGTTTTCATTTTTTTTTTGCTGGTTTCTACTGTACCTCATGCTTATTGGCTTGCACCTTCTGGATTTACTCTCTTAGTAGTTGCTTTTAATTAATTTTGTGGATGGTTTAGATTTTCTTGAAATTTTTCATTACATAAAAAAAATAATAAAATCAAATATAAAAATTTGTTAGATTTTGTTATTTTGATTTTAGGAGTTAATTCATGGTTATCTGATTATTTGAAATTTGTGATCCACCTTTGCTTGTTGAGACTTGAGTCCTATGCAGGTTTATTATGCAATATGCGGATGCGCTTGAGATTTCAATTGTGATTTATTTTCACAATCGATGATGCGTCGATACTTATTCCGGGCATTTGATTTCTAAGTCTTTTATTTGAATGGTGAAGCTTTCTCGAAGATCGTCGGGTTTCTTTGTTTTGATACGCTTCGCTACATATTGATATCTGTTTGGTATTTTCTCTTGTTGATCTCATTTCACACTTTATGTCTTTCTAGAGATCATGATAAGTATGATAATATTAGGTTTAGAAATAGGATAATCTCCCTTTAACTTTTTCTTTCTTTTGCATATGCATTTAAAACAAAAAACTTCTTTCTTACAGACTTCAAAATACTTAAAAATTTACTGATGAGGATCGTGCCTTTGTTAAGCATGAGAAATGATAAGCGGGTCTCTTCTCGATCTTATTGTTTTTCCATTCTAAGCGTTGGCACGGTTCAAGTCTCAAAGACTCATTTCACGAATAAGTAGAGAAATGGCTAATATCTCTCTCTTGAGATTAACTAGCTGTTATCTACAAGCAAAAACACCAACCAATACAAACTCTTCTTGCCTTCGGGCCTTGCTTTCAAACCCTTTTCAAAAGAACATGTTAATTCACTTCTGTGCTGACGTGTAAGTCTCCGAAGGTCGAGTTGCGGCAGAAGGCGAAATTAATATTGTTCATTAAAAAAATACAAACCAACAAAAAACATAAGAGCCGAACTACGACTGCTCTGATTCCTTAAAAGGGATATGTAGGCATCGGGGTAGGGCCCGAACGAGCATAACTTTTATTTTCCCTACATTCTTTTCTCCATTTCTTTTACATGCATTCTCCCTTCGACAGTATAGTAAACAATAAGCATAGATTGAACACACCCATAGGATAGATAACAAGAGTGGATACTGTAGAGTACTACGGGCGTGTGGGGTGCTAATAAGTTCCCCTCGCGTAATAGACTCCCTTACCCTTATCTCTCGGTCGCAAGACCGCGACTTCTCCCTTCTCAGGTTTTCCCGATGTTTACCTTTTTCTACATATGGGATAAAAGACGTTCGATGGCGACTTTATTGTTTGATTATTTTCAGCCGGTTGTTTCAATGACCAGGTTGAATAACTGCAAGCTGATATAGAAAGGATGAGAACCCAGATGATCAGTCAAATGGATCTTATCCAAAGCCTAGCCCGGGGGAAAGAGGAGCTAAGAATCCTCGTCAATAAACTTCATCAAGACGGTCGCAACCAAATGAAACAAACGGTTGAGGCAAAGGATCAAGTCGTTTATCAGCCCCTGATGAGACAAGGAGTTGGCTTGGTGGAGAGTGGACCTTTCCAATTTCATGCTACATCACGAGCCCAACCACAACCTCTCCAACAACTACAAGGTAATCGGCGTAAGCATGATTCATTCACTAGGCAATATACAAAACTCAACATACTAATGTTGCAAGTCTTGCAACACATGTTGAAATTGAATTTGGTCACGTTGAGGGATCCTCCTACAAATCCAAATACGGCCTCTCTAATGTATAATCCAAATGAAAGGTGTGCATAGCACTCCAACAGTCCAGGGCATGATACTGATAGCTGTCGGATATTAAAATACAAAATTCAAGACCTGATCGATGAGGGAGCAATGGAATTCGCACAAGATGGTAAACTGGAATTCTTCTATTATCGCTTCAAGGCACACCATCTAAAGTAACAAGATCAGACAAAGAGGCTTTTGTTCATTAGAATTTTCCATTTTCCATTTTATTTTGATTGTTCGAACATATATTCATATCAAACCTTGTTATTTCATCAATGCATTGCACATGTTTGTCTTGAATTAATTTGTTTGCACTATGCTTGAACTGCTATCTTACTTCCCTTTTGTGATATTCAACTCTTGATTAAAAGCTCTAAGCCTTTAGAGGGAGGATGACGAAAATGATACCACAATCTCTACAATATGCTTTTGAACAGACCCCCCTAACGATGTACAAGCGTTTGTTTCAAATCCTAAATTGTGGAGTTATAAGGAAGATAATCCCTAGTCAACCCCTTTGATCATAAGAAGTAGGAGTTTTATTTTCACGCAAATTAAAAACCATAATCATAACCTGGGGCAGGGTAGTTTTCTCAGTTAATTCAGATGTGCATTCAGTCGCAAGCTTTCCCTTTATACACGACAAATAGTGTAGAAGATGCCGATGGTTCCACGTAATCATTAAGAACAGGCAGTCATTATCTCTCAAAATAAAAGCCCATTAAGTCAAAACCTATGAAGGAAACTTAAGAAAAAAATTGGGGGGCATCCCGCTGGCTGTAATCACAAAAGAAACAATTCAGGCAAAAGACAGGGATGGCAAAATGAAAAAAGAAAGAGGTCCTACAAATCCTCAACAAAAAGAAAGGGTCACAAAAATGATTGCCTTCTCAAACAAACATTCAATTTCTGAGCCATCACCGGAATATCGGGGCCAACACTCCAGAACTCAACTGGGATTCGAAATGCATAATTAACTGAGCATAAGACTAAAGAACATCACAAAGAACGAGTGGGTACAACTAAATTTTGAGCCTTTATCCTTTATTTCTTAAACCGTGAACCAGACCACGTTACAACCCTTAAAAGTCCTAGCTGAAGCATGAGTTAGTTCGAGAGCATACTGTTACAAAGGTATCCTGACTCCTGTAAGGTTTTCTATAAACCATGAGTTGATATCACATTCTTGCAAATTTTGTTATACTACAAAAAA